ATGTAGGGCCTGTTTGGCATTTTCTTCCAAAACAGGTCTGTTTTGTCACAATTAAACACTTGTTGGAATTTTAATTGTTCAGTGTCTATGTACTCCTTAAATTCCTGCACATATTTTTCAGCTGCTTGGTCACAACTGGCAGCCTCACCATGCCTTATCACACTGTGTATGCCACTATGATTCTTAAATCTCTCAAACCAACCTTTGATGGCCTTAACCCTTTCAGGGTCCAAGGCCCAAATCTGGAGTCACGCACCAGTGTCCAAGAATTTTCAAAAAAAAAATTTGTTATTTTTTCTTATGAAATCGTAGAGAATCTTTTTGTGAAGGTAATAAAACAAAAAGTACGAAATTTGGTGGAAAATTGACGAAATTATGCTCTCACGAATTTTGATGTGTCAGCGATATTTACGAATCGGCGATTTTGCCGACTTTGACTCCCATTTTAGGCCAATTACATTATTCCAATCAACCAAATTCTTAGCTATTTCACTAGTATTACTTCTATTCTATCGATTGAGCACAAGAAATCGCCAAGTCAACTGTTTCAACTACAAAATAAAGTGATCGGAAATTGTTAATTTGGCCAATTTAACACAAAGTTCAAAATATTCCAATTTCAAAACAGGGTCCAGAATAAACAATGTAGGTATTCCTGGCACTAAACTAACATTTCTTCTGTTCATTAGTTATGTTTTGAGGCTTTACAAATAAATTCCATTTTGATTTTTTATTCACATAATGAATTTTTATTCACACCAAAAAATAGAAGATTTACTGTTATGCAATACTGTAATAATTGTATAAATATCATCACCATATTTGTGAATGTATATTAGACCCACCAGCTGACGTGTATTAGACGTGTGAGGTCGTTTGTTTACTCTTGAATATCGGCAAAAATTTAACATTTCCGCTACTTTGAACTCAGTTTCAAGCCATTTCCAGTGCTAAAACCAATCAAAATCATCTCTATTTCTGTAATATGTCTTCCATTCTATCAAATGAGACCAAGAAATCGCAAATACAACTATAAAAAACATACGAAAAAACACTGCAAAGTTGCTGTTTTAATCGAAAAATCATGATTTCAGTTTTTTCTCTCATTATACACAGTGTGCTGCAGGATCTGTTTTATGTGGTGCACACATACCACATAGATGTATTCTCTCATATCTAGGCCCAAATGTACCACTCACAGTTTATCAGAGTGAGCTGAGCTCATGGCGTAGATCTACGGTTTGGACACTCACCGTAAAGCCGTAGATCTACGGGACGGACCCTGAAAGGGTTAAATTCACCAATATGAGCACTAGTTCCAGGCATTTTCTTAACTAGATCATCATGCAACTTCCTTGCTTTTTCACATATTATTGACTGAGACACACTAACTCCTGATAATTGTTTGTCGTTGATCCACACCAATAAGTCTCTCCACATCTTCGAGTATTTGTGATCTCCATGTTTTAAGCATACTTGCACCTTTTGCAACAACAGCTTCCTTGATTGCCTTTCTGTTGTCCAAGATAGTAGCGATGGTTGATTGGGGTTTGTTATACAACCTGGCCAGCTCAGAGGCACGCACTCCACTTTTGTACTTTGCAATTATTTCTTTCTTCAGTTCAATAGTATTTCTCACCCTTTTCATCACAGGGTTGGCAGTAGAAGCTTTCTTTGGGCCCATGGTGGCTTATTTAGCAGTTACAAGCACTAAAAACAATGGAATAATACAAAATGTATCGAATGTATGCGTGGAATCGTCTGCCTTGGCTTGTAAACACTGGCACACCAACATTATGGACGGCTTATGTTTTCAGTGGCCCTTATACACCCAACAACAACACAACACCAGTTGTGACATACATAATGACTTATTTTATTCATTCTAGAGTATATGTCATGTTTCTATGTTATTAATATTGTTTATTATGTCATATTAGTTGAGTTGTGATAGATAAATAAGCCGTAGAGTTGATATTAGTGTCATATTCTCCAAAAATAAACTCGCCTCCCCTCCCTCTGCCATACATCTACAGGAGTCTTCAATAAGGGTAAGTGTGATGTTAAATGTTCATTTATACATTTTATTAGTGCCTTACATTTATTTGTCATTCTTTTCTGCATGTAAATTTATATTTAAGCTAGGGAAGTGGCTAGGGAAGTGACCCCTGATAAGGACTTGGTACCTAGAGTCCTTATGGAGAGGGATTCCCCTTCTAAACAATAACCTCTCTTCCCTCTCCCCTCCTCCCCGTCTTCCATACATCAACAACAACCTTCAATAAAGGTAACTGTCATGTTGAATGTTCATTCTTTTGTGCATATAAATCTATCTTTAAGGTAAAAAAAATTTTTTGTTGATACTTCTTGATGTCTGGAATGAATTAATTGGATTTACATTATTTCTTATGGGGAAAATGGTTTTGCAAATCGTCACTTTCGATAATAGTCACACTCTCTGGATTGGATTAATTGTGAAAAATGAGGGACCACTGTAATAAAAATGTATGGGTCAAACAGCTCAACCCTTTGAGTGTCAAGACCCCTGCTCACAAATTTGCTCATAGTGTCGAAGGTTTTAAAAAAAATATTTTTCTCATGAAATAATAGAGAATCTTTTTCCGAAAGTAATGAAACCAAAAGTTTGAAATTTGATGGAAAACTTACGGAATTATGCCCTCACAAAGTTAGCGGTCTCAGCTATGTTTACGCATCGGCGATTTTGCCCAATTTGAGCCCTATTTGGCTCCACTCAACCAAACTCAGAGCTATTTCGCTAGAACTCCTTACTATCGACTTAGTACAAGAAACCGCCCATCAACCTATTTCAACTACACAAAAAAGTGATCAGAAATTAGTAATTTGGCCAATTTCACACAAAATTCAAGAAAGGCCAATCTCAAAATCAGGGCCAGAATAAACAATGCAGACATTCCTAGCACTAAAATAACATTTTCTCTGTTCATTAGTCACGTCTCCAGGCCCCTCTTATATTACACTTGCTTTTCATTTTGAATTTTTTTCACACAAAAAATAGATGATATACGTACTGTTATTCAGATTACTGCATAATCGTAATAGTTGTATAAATAATATCAGTGCATTCATGAATGCATATCAATCACGTGACGTGATTTATTTACTCATGAACATCGTCAAAAATTGAATATTTCCACTACTTTGAGCTCAATTTCAAGCTACTTTTAACCCTTAACCCTTTGACTGTCGCAACCCCCAATCCTGAGGTGTCTCCTGGTGTCGCAAAATTTCAAAAAAAAAAAATTATTTTTTCTTATGAAATGATAGAGAATCTTTTCCCGACTGTAAAGACACCAAAAAAACGAAATTTGATGGAAAACTGACAGAATTACGCTCTTGCGAAGTTAGCGACCTCGGCGATATTTACAAATCGGCGATTTTGCCCACTTTGAGCCCTATTTTCGGCTAATTCCATTATTCCAGTCAACCAAACTCATAGCTATTTCTTCAGAACTCCATTTTTTCTATCGATTGAGTACAAGAAACTGCCCATTTACCGATTTCAACTACCCAATAACATGGTCAGAAATTTGCAATTTGGCCAATTTCACTAAAATTAAAAAATATGACAATTTCAAAATAAGGACCAGAATGAACAATGCAGACATTCCTGGCTCTAAAATAACATTTTCTTTGTTCATCAGTCATGTCTCCAGGCCTCTCTGATATTACTCTTGCTTTTTATTTTGAAATTTTATTCAAACAAAAAATAAAAGATTTACTGTTATGCAGACTACTGCAATACTGTAATAGTTGTAAAAATTACATCAACTCTTTCATGACTGCATATTAGAATGGCTATTTGGACATTTATTGGACAATGACATCATTTGTTTACTTTTGAACATCGGCAAAAATCAAACATTTCCTGTACTTTGTGCTCCATTTCCAGGTTCTTTTTATAGTAAAATTAATCAAAATCATCTCTATTTCTATAATATAGTTTCCATTCTATCAAATGAGACCAAGAAAACGAGAATACAACCACAAATACTATATGAAAATAGACCACAAAGTCGGCATTTTAATTAAAAAAAATGGTCAGAGTTTTTTTTTTCTCATTATGCACTGTGTGCTCCAGGATTTTTTTTATATGGTGCACACTGACCACACAGACCCATTCTTTCACATGTGGGCGTACCAGCTTTCTCCTGCCTGATTTGAAGCTGCTACAATTTATGAGTATATATACGTCAAACACGGTACCTCGTAAACGTATATATACGGCTGCGACAGTCAAAGGGTTAAATGGTCCAAACGTATATACATGTTCACATGCGTAGCTCCCCAAACGTATACTATACAGTACACGTTTTCTTTATCATTCATTCAACACTGCCACGATAAGCCTGAGTCACCTAGACATGAGAGAATGGGTGTGCGCACTCATTGTGCACCATATTAAAATAATTGGGGATGCCTGGGTACCATATGCTCTTTTTTCCTATTAAAAAAAAAACAATTTTTTTTCTCAAAAAATTTGGGGCGGTACGCGAGTGAACATATATATACGTTTGGACTGTTTAGGGGTTAATTAGTAAACCATTCAAAATCACCTCCATTCTATCAAATGAGATCAAGAAAACGAGACTACAATCATAAGTACCAAACAAAGATAAACCACAAAGTCGCATTTTTTTTTCTTATTATGCACTCTTATACTGTGCACACTGACCCATTTTCTCATATGTAGGTCTACCAGCTTTCTCCTGCAAGATTTGAAGCTGCTAGAATTTTGGTGTAATATTACAGGACGGACACTGGCTTCAAAGCCATAATATTATGAGACAGACAACGAAGAGGTTAAAATCAAAGATAATATAATAATACTTATACAAATTTGTTCTTTAGAATGATAAGCATTGCAAAGTAAGTGCCTGACAGCATGCTGGCTTCTGAGTCACAATACTGAAAATTCATGTGTCCATATTTCCATACAAAGCATGGTAAATTTTACTTGCCTCTTTCCTTAATTCAGCCAATTCTGATTCCTTGGAGAGATCAAATTCCCGTGTCGAGTCTTTGAATGATGCGATGTGGTATGGTCCCTCACTAAGTGTCACCATGACTGGTGCCCTTGTCATCATTTCACCAGCACCTCGAGGAAATATTCTTGCCTGAAAGATGCATCATATGCCTCACAATTATGTCAATTCTTTTACAAAAGTCATGCAAGAAAATGAAGAGACTTGTCATATCTTATAATCATAAAATGTTAAAAATTATTATTATATTCACAGAAAGGCATTAAATTTTTAAGTATTATACAGCATCTGGCAAGCAGCCAAGTTTGATTCTAAGAAGGACAGAGCAGTTCCAATTCCTTGGATAAAGAGACTTTCATTAGCATCAAAGCACCCTTTTGAAACTGAAATACTAAATACACTTAGCATGTCTGATGGTAAACATCTTCATTACATTAAAGTTAAATTTCGTTCTAATGCTAAATTTTTAGTAGTTGTTTGGTACTTATAATATCTTTAAAATAATAACAGAATTGATAAACTTATAGTCACACCTCATTTATCTGAGTAACATAAATATCTGAGAATTCTGGATAACCAGAAGCATTCCACTGACACTAATCCATCTCTGATTAACCCTTTGAGGGTCCGTGCCGTAGTTCTAAGGCTTTACGTTCAGGGTCCAAACCGTAGATCTGTCATGAGCTCAGCTCACTCTGATAAGCTGTGAGCGGTAAATTTGGGCCTAGATATGAGAGAATACATCTATGTGGCATGTGTGCACCACATAAAACAAATCCTGCAGCACACTGCATAATGAGAAAAAAATGAGACTGTAATTTATTAAAACAGCAACTTTGCAGTGTTTTTTTGTATGTTTTATATAGTTGTATTTGTGATTTCTTGGTCTCATTTGACAGAATGGAAGATTTATTACAGAAATAAAGATGATTTTGATTGGTTTTAGAACTGAAAATGGCTTGAAACTGAGCTCAGAGTAGTGGAAATGTTAAATTTTTGCCGATGTTCAAGAGCAAACAAATGACCTCACACGTCTAATACACACCAGCTGGTAGGTCTAACATACGTTCACAAATGTGCTGATATTATTTATACAATTATTACAATATTGCACGAGTGTAAATCTTCCATTTTTTGGTTTGAAGAAAAATTCATTATGTGAATTAAAAATGAAAATGGAATTCATTTGTAGAGCCTGAAAATGTAACTAATGAACAGAGGAAATGTTAGTTCAGTGCCAGGAATGCCTGCATTGTTTATTCTGGACCCTATTTTGAAACTGGAATATTTTGAACTTTGCACTAAATTGGCCAAATTACCAATTTCCAATCACTTTATTTTGTAGTTGAAACAGTTGAGTTGGCGATTTCTTGTGCTCAATCGATAGAACAGAAGTAATACTAGTGAAATAGCTAAGAATTTGGTCGACTGGAATAAAATAATTGGCCTAAAATGGGAGTCAAAGTCGGCAAAATCGCCGATGCGTAAATATTGCTGACACATCAAAATTCACGAGAGCATAATTTCGTCAATTTTCCATCAAATTTCGTACTTTTTGCTTTATTACCTTCAGAAAAAGATTCTCTACTATTTAATAAGAAAAAATAACAAAATTATTTTTTGAAAATTCTTGGGACACTGGTGCGCACTTTGAAATTTGGCCTTCGGACCCTGAAAGGGTTAAGCTGAGATTCATGGGTGTCAGAGGTGAGAAGGCCCACTTGACTAGCTCTTTATAAATGTTGATTACCAAGTGTGTTTTCAGTTCTGTTCACACACATCTCTCTATATATGAAGAAATATCCCCTAAAATGCCAGGAGCAATGGGCTAGTAACCCCTTCTCCTGTATACATTACTAAATTTAAAAAGAGAAACTTTGTTTTTCTTTTTAGGTCACCCTGCTTCAGTGGGATATGGCCAGTTTGTTAAAAAGAAAATCCTCTCAGATGTGCACTCCATACTTCTCCAATAAGCAGACATAAAAGATGTTAAATAAGGTCGCAGCTCACTGAAGCAAGACAGAACTTTTCCAATAATTCATTAAACTGTATTATTTCTGCTGAAACTAGATCATGAAGCATGCATCTTTCAAAGGAGAAGGGTATTGAACAAGCAATACAGTATATATATATAATATGAGGACACAAAGATTAAATCTTAAGTTTTATTTTGAATGAAAATGTCTCAGTGCTCTAATGTACACATGGTTGGAGTCAAAATATTTTATGCAAAACTAAAAATAAAAATTCATTGAATACTCTCATGGCTAGATTCACAGGTTCAGTCTTTGCTATGGCATTACATAAAATATCTGGCACAAAATTGTCTCCTGTTCACAATGGTGCCAATCAGTATATAAATTTGCTTATTTGGTTATAGAACACAACTGCTAAATAAATCTACAATGAAGATGGGAAAGATTATTCTAGATATTTTTGCTATATTCTAATATTTGCATCAATGAGAAATCAACATCTAGGAAGAAGGAATTATTTTTTTTTTTTAACAAGTCAGCCGTCTCCCACCGAGGCAGGGTGACCCAAAAAGAAAGAAAATCCCCAAGAAGAAAATACTTTCATCAATATTCAACACTTTCACCTCACTCACACATAACCACTGTTTTTGCAGAGGTGCTCAGAATACAACAGTTTAGAAGTATATACGTATAAAAATACACAATATATCCCTCCAAACTGCCGATATCCCAAACCCCTCCTTTAGAGTGCAGGCATTGTACTTCCCATTTCCAGGGCTCAAGTCTGGCTATATAAAATAACCGGTTTCCTTGAATCCCTTCACTAAATATTACCCCGCTCACACTCCAACAGCTCGTCAGTTCCCAAATACCATTTGTCTCCATTCACTCCTAACACGCTCATGCACGCTTGCTGGAAGTCCAAGCCCATCGCCCATAAAACCTCCTTTACCCCCTCCCTCCAACATTTTCGAGGACGACCCCTAACCTGCCGTCCTTCCCCTACAGATTTATACGCTCTCTACGTCATTCTACTTTGATCCATTCTCTCTAAATGACTAAACCACCTCAACAAACCCTCTTCAACCCTCTGACTAATACTTTTATTAACTCCACACCTTCTCCTAATTTCCACACTCCGAATTTTCTGCATAATATTTACACCACACATTGTCCTTAGACAGAACATCTCCACTGCCTTCAACCACCTCCTCGCTGCTGCATTTACAACCTAAGCTTCACACCCATATAAGAGTGTTGGTACTACTATACTTTCATACATTCCCTTCTCTGCCTCCATAGACAACATTTTTTGCCTCCACACATATACCTCAATGCACCACTCACCTTTTTTCCTTCATCAATTCTATGATTAGCCTCATCCTTCATAAATCCATCCGCTGACACGTCAACTCCCAAATATTTGAAAACATTCACTTCTTCCTTACTCCTCCTCCCCAATTTGATATCCAATTTTTCTTTATCTAAATCATTTGATACCCTCATCACCTTACTCTTTTCTATGTTCACTTTCAACTTTCTACCTTTACACACACTCCCAAATTCATCCACTAACCTTTGCAATTTTTCTTTAGAATCTCCCATAAGCACAGTATCATCAGCAAAGAGTAACTGTCACTTCCCATTTTGTATTTAATTCCCCATAATTTCATCCCACCCCTCTCCCGAACACCCTAGCATTTACTTCTTTTACAACTCCATCTATAAATATATTAAACAACCATGGTGACATTACGCATCCCTGTCTAAGACCTACTTTTACCGGGAAGTAGTCTCCCTCTCTTCTACACACCCTAACCTAAGCCTCACTAACCTCATAAAAACTCTTTATAGCATTTAGTAACTTACCATCTATTCCATATATCTGCAACATCTGCCACATTGCTCTCCTATCCACTCTCTCATATGCCTTTTCTAAATCCATAAATGCAATAAAAAAACTTCCCTACATTTATCTAAATACTGTTCACATATATTCTTCAATGTAAACACTTGATCTACACATCCCTTACCCACTCTAAAACCTCCTTGCTCATCCGCAATTCTACATTCTGTCTTACCTCTAATTCTTTCAATAATAACCCTACCATACACTTTTCCTGGTATAGTCAGTAAACTTATTCTCCTTTGTCCCCCTTCCCTTTATATAAAGGGACTATACACGCTCTCTGCCAATCCCTAGGTACCTTCCCCTCTTTCAAACATTTATTAAACAAAAATACCAACCATCCCAACACTATGTCCTCTCCTGTCATGATCCCGTCAATTCCAGCTGCTTTACCCCCTTTCATTCTACATAATGCCTCATGCACCTCCCCCACACTCACATCCTCCTCTTCTTCACTCCTAAAAGATGGTATACCTCCCTGGCCAGCGCATGATATTACTGCCTCCCTTTCTTCGTCGACATTTAAAAGTTCCTGAAAATTTTCTCAACATCTACCCAATACCTCCATCTCCCCATCTACTAACTCCCCTATTCTGTTTTTAAGTAAGAAAACCATTCGTTCCCTAGGCTTTCTTAACTTGTTTAACTCACTCCAAAATTTTTTCTTATTTTCATTAAAATTTCTTGACAGTGCCTCTCCCACTCTATCATCCGCTCTCCATTTGCACTCTCTCACCCCTATTTGCACCTTTCTTTTGCTCTCCATATACTCTGCTCTTCTTATAACACTTCTGCTTTGTAAATACCTCTCATAAGCTACCTTTTTCTCTTTTATCACACCCTGTACTTCATCAGTCCACCAATCACTCCTCTTTCCTCCTGCCCCCACCGTTCTATAACCAAAAACTTCTGTCCCACATTCTAATACTGCATTTTTAAAGCTATTCCAACCCTCTTCAACCCCCCCCCCACACTATTCATACTTGCACCAGCCCACCTTTCTGCCAATAGTTGCTTATATCTCACCCGAACTTCCTCCTCCCTTAGTTTATACACTTTCACCTCCCTCTTACTTGTTGTTGCTATTTTCCTCTTGTCCCATCTACCTCTTCCTCTAACTGTAGCAACGACTAGACAATGATCTGATATATCAGTTGCCCCTCTATAAACGTGTACATCCTGGACCCTACCCATCAACCTTTTATCCACCAATACATAATCTAACAAACTACTTTCATTATGTGCTA